AGAAGAATGCAGAAGTGAACGTTATGATATACCAGTCTTCTGCCTTGAATATGTCTGCCTTGAAATCTATCTGTGCTTTGTATAAACAGTTTCATTTTCACAGCTAAAAATCATTGTAAGCTCTTTTAACTAAGCTACTATTTATTTTTACATATTAAAAAAATCCAAAACAATACAAAACCCCTGCAACAAATTACACAATTTTACTTCGAACAGACACTTATCCTGTTCCGTTTCAGGGTAAATGCCACTCCAACTGCTTCACTGAGTTGTAAGTAACACCAGAAACCGAAGTGCATGGAATACTTGCCTGGAAACTGCTGAAGAGCTTTTAGTTGTGGTGCTTGTGTAGTCTGTACGAAGTCATGAAAAGCCTGCTTCGCATTTTCAAAACTCAGAAAAATATGTCTGTGTTTTCTTCTAACAGGCACATTCTGTGTTTTACAAAAAGGAAGGAAGAACCCTTGATTAAATCAGACTTCCTCATCCAATTGGCTCACTGGTTCAGTGCTGACTGATTACGCATGAAATTTCCTATCTGCCTCGAACAGCCCTTGTGCTGTCTGTGGGCGAGGCACGGCCTGTTGCCCGCAGTGCAGCTCCAGCAGCAAGGGCAGGTTTGCAAATCTGAGTGTCAGGATTTGCACGTGTACTGTGCAAACGCAAAGTCTGGCAGAGGGAAGAGTTCAACAGTAAATACAATTACAAAATCAATGAAAACTCTGCATGGATTTCTGAAACCAAAAATACACACTTAGCAAAAGAGAGATTAGGAAAAAAGAGCCAAAGATGTAAATGTACTTATGTGGAAAAATATGCCCCTTGGGACATCTTTAAAATACATGCAGTTCAGAAAAGAAAATGCAGATGGTACCACAATAAATAGCCTCACTCTATGTAAACTTGCACTTCTGAAAGAAATCCCGATTCTGCACAGTGCTTAAACATATGATTAATTTCAAATATCTGCTTAATTAAAGTTCAAAAAGGAGCATTATCATATCTGACATGACTACTAAACTTGAAATGGGCTTATGTGTGTGCCTAAAATTAATCCTGTGCTTACATTCTTTGTTGAACTGAGGACAAAATGAAGAAGAATGACGCATTAATCCACATGTCCTTTGGCCCAGATGCTTCCTTTTGCAGTTCACTTCACTTTGGAAATTTGCTTTAAAGCATCAGGATAGCTATTTCTGGGGTAAATAATATAGACGCTATCTTTTTTTAGTAATGTAAGTTTCCCCATTGCCAAAGCTCGCTCACTGAAAAACCAAGTGATTTTAATGCAGCACAAATGTGGGAGGCAAACATCCAAAGGACCTCATGGATCCTGCCCCACACATTCCTTTAGAGCAAACAATTTAAAATAATGTAAAACCAAGGCCATAAACTGGCAATGCTTCTCTTCTGCTTTATTTGCAACGTAAAACAATGCCAACTTTAATTTGGACTCAGTCTAAATGTAGAAGTTTTGCCAAAATAGCTGTCAGAATGATGAAAAATCACTCCCATGCAGCTACAGCCATACTGGCAAAAGCCCTAGTGTAGATGCCATTATATTGGCAGAGTCCTTTAGCCAGTTTAGCATGTTCCATGCAGAAAGTGATTTAAGTTACACCAGAAAAGAAATCTGTGCTTGCCAATACAGCTCTAAGGTGTAGCTATACCAGCCAAGCCTTTTAAGTGTAGACAAGGCATGGGTTTCTGGCTCAAGTCTCAGTCCTTTAAAGTTAGATTTATGGGGTTGGTTACAATTGTGAGCAAAAACCAAGGGGGATTTGAGCGCATTTCACTCACACTGACAGTTCACAGATGTATCTAAGCTTTGAATTCTGAATCTGTTAATTTATGTGTTGCCAAAAAGCAATGTATTATTTTGTGATGCTTAGTGCTATTGTCCTGCTCTTGATAAAGCTAAAAGAAAAGAGGAAAGTATATTTTTCAGTATATTAAGTATGACCTCTTCTTTCAATTATTTCAGAATAAGTAAGTCCTAGTCAAATTAACCTGGATGATTAAAAAAAAGTGAAATCCGTTATTATGAGCATGGCTGACTGATATGAAATAATTTACAAATCAACGGCGTTCTGCAAGAATTCTGCCTGCCTCAGCAGAGCCAGCTGTTACAGTCACTGCTGGTTCTTGAACGGGTTCCTCGAGCCCAGAAGCCATGACACCCACAGCGGGTTTAGCAGGCTGCTCCTCCTCATCCTGCTCCCATGAGCTTGGGTTTGGTCCAGACAGCCCCTGGCCCTTCACTGGGACCCAGTGTTGTTACCTGGCAGCATTTTACTTTCCTAAATGTCTACTTGATTAGCACATTCAAAAAAAGCGTACAGAATACAGTGGTCTTTGCTAGCGGAATGCATAACTGGTATCTTTCTTTTGATATTCTCAGTTCCACTTCCAACAGTCAAATACTGTGTAAAGGGTTAAGCAGTGGAAAAGGGGAATTTTCACAATGGCAGCATACCATTCTGAGAGATGGGCAAGTGCACTTACACCATCAATTTATCTGACTATTCATAAAACTGTGGTAAATTTTAATGGAAAAGCATGTTCTGTCATAGTCAATGATGGAAAAGGGATCCTCATGCACTGGCTCACTTGGAGGTTGTATTCTGTGAAAGCACTGACTTTGTCTGACATACATAAAGAGCACAGTGTTAAAATGCATCCACCAAGGGATATGGAAAAAGAGTGCTCTGCAATAACATAGGAACAAGGCAAGGTTAAAATCGTAACACTGCAGTGCATAAAAGTGGTTGTCAAAGGAGTTAGGTCCTCCATGCTGATTTAAGATGAAAGGGCTCATTTTGGGAAAACTAACCTGAAGGTTTATGTCTAAAACTTGGTAACCAGCCACCAGATGAGCTAGCCCTGCGATGCCATGTTAAGGATGTCTGTATTGAAAGACCATGTTTGTGCTTTTGATAGTTAAAGAACCAGAAGGGACTGCTGCAATAGTGTAAAACATCCTGCCTTGATTTATACCCTGATTTAGGCAGTTCACATTTTCCCAATCAGATAGATCACATAAACCCAGACAGACACAATATTTAACCATAGAATACAAAGCTGGTATCAGCTTGAAAAATTGTGAGATAAACCAATGTTATATACAAACTGCAGTTTACTGCCAGATTTTATTGACATTTTATTATAGGCACAGCAAGGTCTTATTCTTGTTAAAGAATGTGGCTGTAATATCCCCAATACAAAATACTCTTCAGCTTCTGTCCCAAGGAACACAGCTTCAAGCAATCTCATAGAGCCTGTGCTGCTTTTCCCTCTCAGGCCCCAAACTATGTAACTAAACCTTATTTATTTTACGAAATCATTCATTAGAACTGTAGATAATGAGAAAAAACAAGAGGAGGCAGAAATACCTAATATATTTATCCAAGCCCCCTTTTATCATATAACTCATATTTAGAAGGTGCTGTAATGTTGTCTTTGATGCTTCTACAAGAACCTTTCCTCTCTCTTTTTAATGCAGCTGGATAAATACCTACCTTTTCCATGTTTCAAGTAGCAGAAAAATTCAGCTGTTCTGCATGAATATTCTGTACTTCTGGGGTGATGCTGTGATAAATGAATACCATACTCCTATCCTGGCACAGCACAAAATTCTGTTCCATGCTATTTATATACTGTTTAATTGTATAGTGTTGTGTCATTTGAAAGCGGAATTTGTTTACCATACTTCATTATTACAAAACATGTCTCTCTTAACAAGAGTGTGGTTTAAAGAAATAATTCGCTGTTTGATGGCAAATATGTCGTGCTGGTGTTACTGACAGGGTTTTCAACATGAAAGAAACTTAACAGGCCCATTTTATGCTGCCAAAGCCCTGTTATCTACAACTCCTTTATACTTCTAAAGGAGTATGAAGTAGCTTTAGAGTAAACAACAGTCTTGGCCTGCCTTTCATCTGTGCTCTGTCGGTGACACAGAGCTGTAATGCAAGCCCAGTGGGTCAATAGGATATTAACTTGGGTTCGATTTCACAAGCACTATTCTGTCTGTAAAATGACAGACTTTCTAAATGGTCTATGTTGGTCATTTTTCCTGCTAAAAAAAAGTACATAATTACATGGACTAGAAAAATATTTTTAAATATTTGGTTTTGAGTAATTAGGTATACCACATGTAGTCATTCCTATCTAGTATTCTGGTATTTTATTCTTATAACGTGTCTGTCCCCTTTTCTTCTCAAATATAATTATGGTGTACTTAGGCTAATACTTATAGTCATGTTCCACGTGCAATTTATTTATACCCCAAATGTGAGCATAATGGAACTTGGGATAACAGGATTTATAGCAGACATGCTAATGCATTTTGTACTAGCATAAAAGGCAGCTCTACAAATGGAGGAAAATGCAGCTGCTGTGTATAGATAGCCACCTTGAGGATCAGCAGAGCAGAACTTGGGTTTACTGTGTGCCCTTCTGAAGCACATGCTTCAGAAGAAATAGTGTTGTGTTGAAGACATGCAATGCATAAGAAATGCAATGCATAATGAAGAAATGCAATGCATAAATCTTAGCATCTTTTCACTACTACTTATTCTTTAAAAATTAAACGTGACTTTAAAATGCAATTTTGCTCTTAAGTGACTAAATAAAAAGATTAGTGTAAGCATTCTTTCCATAGTAGGTGGAATCTCATCGATTCCTCAAATAAACCCCTGCTGGTTTCCGACACTTGGACTGTGTCCCTTCCACCTTGCACACACCCACACTAACAAGAGCCTGTGTCGCGCCTTTCCATCTTCCTACCAAAATCCGTGGTAGTGACCCGCATCACTTCAGAGCTCAGACGTGGGTGCTCCAGCCCTGGTCCGGTGCCACACTGGATCTGCTTACTGACTGTCTCTAGATTCTGGAGGTCTCTAGGGAACAGGATTAACTGGAACAGCCTATACTTTAGCTAATGTTGAACTGCACGTTACTAAATTAGATAAAAACATGTATTAGAAGAACGTTAAAGATGCTAAGAAACCAGGAAAGCGTTTATTTGTATGTCAACATTATTGTAACCACCTTAGGTACAGGATCATACGCTATTTTTTTCAAAGATGCTTCTTGGTAGGAAGTCCATTTCTAGTACAAAATTTCAGAAGTGGTTTTAAAACGAAGTTTAAAGCACCAGTTTAGAATACTACGTGATTAAAAAAACCCTCTCTAAAAATAAATGTTCTTCCGGAAATGCCGAATGCGTGAATAGAGCCTTTAACATAGCCGTCCTGTCGAGCAACTCTTTTCTATTCCGGAGTTCATTCTCTCATTTGTTATTTAAGAAGAGCTCACTGTGTATAAAAAACACCGGTGCCAAGTGGATAAAATAGGACAGCATCCAGATGACAGTCACACTCAAAAGTAGGTCGGTTAAAGAGAAGCTACATTTGGCTTTTATTAAATCAAATATTCAGCAGCATTACTTACATTTCTTGAGAGCAAAAGTATTTCAAAACGGGATATTGAAGCCAGATCAAGTTTGACATTCACGAACAGCCTCTAGGCAACTCTACAGCAGCGTGCTTCCCGAGGGACGCTGCGGTGTACCGGGGAGCAGCCTGGCGTCAAACAGCGCTGCAAAAATCGCTCTCGCGCCTTCTCCAGCAAACCCGAAAGGCCAATTAAAGTCAGTCAGTGTTTTTAACTCGGAGAGCTTTCCGACTGCGAACTAGGCTGCTGTCAGGTCCTGACAGGTCTCGTTTGTCCTCGTCCCCGCGTGTCTCATCTGCTGGGCTGCCGGCTTTGCCGGGCGGAAGGCAGCGCCGCACGGCACCCCAGCACGCCGGCACCCGCC